TTGATATAGGATCTACAGTGATAACCAAAATTATCAACTTGGTTGAGTAGAGATAAGATTAAGCATCTCATTTCACTTTTACTTTACTATTTAAAATAATAATGTGTTAATTTATTATTAATTGGACATATGCGGATCTAATATCTAAGGATACCTAATTGCCGGCTAATCATAATATATCTGGTTGACTATTTAATTAAATAGTTCTTTCAAAGACAATGCTAGACGTCTCTACACAAATACTCAATTTTCTTTTGACTCCATAAGATGACAATTTTAATAAGTTGATATTTAAAATTAAAAAAAAAATGAAAACTTAAAACATACAAAACTTTTCACATCAAGGCATGACAAAAATTGAGTGGTTTTAAATGGACAAATAACAATATTGTTTAGTTGTTGGACACGACGATATTTCCCATGCACAACTCGCATATTTATGACTAGTATTAAAAGGCCCGTATGCAGGGCCGAATTTTAGGTTTTTGTGGCCCTGTTCTGGTAAATAATTGAGGCCCTCCAAAATCTTAATTTTTAAAACTAACATATGCGAGTTTCGAACCTTTGACCTTCAAGTTAAAATACAATAAAATACATATTTCTACCATCTCTTCATAAAATCTTTTAAGATAAATTGTAAACTTTTAATATTTATTTTCAAACTAGCTAGGTAAATATTAAATATTTGGCCTCTAAAATTTAGGGCCCCTCTAAAATTGGGGGCCCTGTGCGGTAGCCCAGCTTGCACAGCCTAAAATCCGGCCCTGCCCGTATGGGTAGCTCAACTGGTCATAGAGGTGAAACTTTGGAAGAATGACCAGGGATTGAGTCTCACCAGCGACAGTGTAGGAGCAACCTCTCAAAGTGAGGGGGTTCCTTGTGCGCAGTGAGCACTGGTCTAGCCTCTATGGTTCATGTTCAGTTGAGCACCGGTCTCCCCTTTTGGAAGAATGACTAGTATTAAAAGAAGTTAAAGTTGATTTCAAATTCTTAAATTTACTATCTACTATACTAATAAGAAACCAAGAGAGTTATACCTATAATGGGTAAAAAAAAATGGCGGTCAAATTTTTTAATCAAATGAATAGTTCAGATTGATCAGATTTTAATTTTTCCTTGAGATTTCCTAATTTATCCTTAATGAATATGATTATCCGTTAACATTTCCATTAAATATTATCTTTTCCGTTAATTTTTGTTAGTTCACCGTTAACTTACTCATTGATTTCAATAAGAAAGGTCTTAGATTCGAACTTCATCCTAATCAAAGTTGACATAATTAGTACTCTATTTTACTCTTATTAAATTAAATAATAATTTAGTAGCTACAACAAAAAATAATACATATGCATTTCTTTAATTTAGAATTATGTGTCTACAATGCCTTTATTCAAAAAAAAAATTATTCATTATCAATAAATTAAATAAGAGAAACAGTTTTATTAGTTATATTGTCTTTATTTTTCTCCAATATAAAAATTCTTTACATTCAAATTCATCAATTGACGCTACATTGTCCCTACTCCCTACAATGTCTTTATTAAAAAAAAATTATTCATTATCAATAAATTAATTAAGAGAAATAATTTCATTAGTTATATTGTCGTTATTTTTCTCCAATGTAAAAATCCTTTACATTCAAATTCATCAATTGATTATATTCACTACATTGTCTATTATCATTTTGTGCACTATTTTTTAATTAAATATCAAAGTTATAATACAAAATAATGTTATATATTTATTTACCAAGTATTTTATTAATACCATGAAAAATTAAAAAAATATAATTAATAAAGACAATCATATTAACTACTTGAGGGATTTGTTGACAAAGAGAGTATTCAAATCACACAACAAATTGAAGTGATAAACTACCTCTCAATGTCATTGTTTAGCGGTTAGCGTTAGCGGATTTGACCAGTGAATTATATCAACGGTTGGTCAAAAGATATTTGAAAAAAAAATAGCTAATGGGCCCCCCTCAGCCCTGTCCAAGCAATCGTTATGCCATGGAACCGTGTTCACCATCTATGGTGAACACGGTCCCAACGGTGTTAGTACACTGTTATCTTTTTTTTTTTTTTTCTTTTTCTTAATTATTTTTTATATAGCTTGGAGGGGGGACACCCCGGAAAGACAACAGAGAGTTTACAACGTATAAACATGGCGCCATGTAGGCAGCCTAGCTATATCATCCTCGATTGTGCCCAGTAACATCACTAGGGCCTCCTCTAATACATGGCAACCATTAGGGAAGTTTTTAGCGAGTTTAGCTAACTTATCGGCTGCCTGATTTTGTTCCCGAGCTATAGCTTTAATTTCCCAGACCTCTAGGCTCCATAGTTCCTTCTTGCATCCTTCAAGAATATTGTGGGCTGCCGTTGTTGGTCTCGTGGAGCTAGTCATATAGTTCACCAACAGGGATGAGTCAGATTCAAATGTTGCCTTTTTGATTCCCATTTGAATGGCAAGCTGGATGCTTTTTAGGAGGGCCTAAGATTCTGCTTCCAGTGGGGTAGAATTGTTCATATTAAACACCAAGCCTTTTTTCCACTCACCTCTCTTATCTCTAACAATGCCTCCGCATGAAGCTTTGTTTGACTGAAGATCCACCGAGCCATCAACATTGATTTTAACAAAGCCCTCCCTTGGTTTAGACCATGATAGTAATTTCCAGCTGCTAGATTCTCCTAGTACGTGGTGACCAGCAGCTCTGTCAAAAGTTGTTGATATTTCCTTGGCTTGCATTCTAATCATGGTATCTTATATTGTATAGCCCTGGAAGTGCCACTGAATATTCTTTCATTCCTCCACTTCCAAATCCACCAAAGGGTAACTGCGAACAAAGTACACTTATTAGTTGGTTCTCTGCCTTTGCTTTTGTTAGTTATTCCACCTTCGAACCATTTTTGGAAAGTTAAGTTCTTCGTCTTTTCATAGTCTGGCCAAGAAATCGCTTTCCATACTTCCTCTGCTGCTGGGCAGCGTCTAAGCACGTGTTTGACATCCTCGACTAAGGTGTTGCATAAGTCGCATTTGTCACAAAGAGTCAGTTTTTGCTTGGCTCTATTGCTGTTACACATTATCCTATCGTGATTGACAAGCCAGAGGAAAGTGCGAATTCGATTAGGTACCTTCAGTTTCCATATGCTATTCCACTTTGCTGCCTCCACTGGTTCGGTATTTCCTATGGCAATTTCATATGCAGTAGCCACCGTAAACTCTCCAGTTGCTCCCATTTTCCAGCTTATATAGTCATCTCTTTCTGTTTCATCAAGTATGTAATAGAGATCCAGCCTTTTTAACGTTTCTTCAGGCAAGAGGTTGTTTAGCTCTTCCCACCGCCACCTTGTATCTGGGTTCCAATAACTGGCGACGGATCGGCTCTGCTCAATAGGTGGTATTAACATGGTTGCATGCTCTAAAAGCGGGGTATCCTCGAGCCAATCGTGTGTCCAGAACAGCGTACTTCGTCCATTTCCCACTTGTGTTTTGATCCCTTTCTCCAAGATTGGGATAGCTTTCAAGATTCCCCTCATAGCATTGGACATATTGCTTCTGGCTTGCCACTGTCGGAAATCTATATTGGATAGGTGGTATTTTGCTTTGAAAATTTTGATCCAGAGGCTATCTTCTCCTTGTAAAATTCTCCATCCTAGTTTGGCCATGAATGCAAGATTCATCTGTTCCAGCTTCCTAATTCCCAATCCACCATGTGATTTGCTTCTAGTGATCATGTCCCAATTGACGAGGTGTACTTTCTTATCACCATTGTCACTCCCCCATAGGAAGTTCCGAATGGTCTTCTCAATGTTAAGGATCACTCCAAACGGTAGCAGAGTAGTTTGCATTGCGAAGAAAGGAATTGAGGACAAAGCTGATTGGGCCAACACATGTCTTCCGGCGAGGGATAGCGATTTAGCTTTCCAGCCAGCCAGTTTTGAATTCATTCTTTCGATGATACCTGCGAACGATTCTTGTTTGAGTCTCCCATGATTGGATTGAACTCCCAGGTACTTCCCTAAGTCCGTGACTTTGGGAATGCCAATAATATCAATGATTCTTTGCTGCGTCTCATGATCCGTATTTTTGGAGAAGTATACTGAGGATTTTTGAAAGTTCACTTTCTGCCCAGAAATCATGCAAAACAAATCAAGGCATCTTCTCATCTCAGCTGCTTGTTCTACTGTTGCTTCCCCGAATAGTGTCATGTCATATGCAAATAGAAGGTGGGAAACATAAGGGCCTGATCTAGAAGTTTTTATACCTTTCCATTTACCTTGATCAACAGAATTTAGAATTATATGACTAAATCTTTCAATGCATAAAACGAAGAGAAGGGGGGATAAGGGATCTCCCTGTCTAATTCCTCTTCCCGGATGAAACCAGTTCGTTTGCTGCCCATTCCATAGTATTGTCATTCTAGGTGAGGAGACGCACTGCATGATGTTTCTAACCCAAGTATGATTCAGTCCAACTTCTACTAAAGTGTCTTCGATTAGGCTCCAGGATAGCCTATCATAGGCTTTCTCCAGGTCTATCTTTATCACCATCCATCCCATTTTGCCTTTTTTCGTCTTCATCGAATTTAGAACTTCTTGGTATACTAAGATGTTGTCTGTAATTTGTCTACCTGGCACAAAACTTGCTTGGTACGGGCCTATTAATTTGCTTAGGATGATTCTTAATCTCATTGCCATCAGCTTTGTTATGAGTTTGTAAACTACGTTGCAAAGGCCAATAGGTCGGAACTGCTTGATCGATTCCGGGTTGCTGACTTTTGGGATCAAGGTTATGAGTGTGTCATTGCATCCTTGGAAGAGTGTCCCTTTATTGAAAAATTCCTCCGTAAACTTAAACAAGCTACCCTTTACCGTACTCCAGGTTTTTTGAAAAAAAGCAGCTGTGTAGCCATCCGGGCTCGGCGATTTGGAAGGAGCCATTTCAAACAGCGCTTCCTTGACCTCCTCAAGACTGAAAGATTTATTAATTTCTGTCTAGTCAGAGGCATGGAGACTTGGGAAGGCTCCTTGTAATAGTGATTGGGAACAGACATTTGGCTCGTTGGAAAATAACCCCACAAAGTACTTAAGTACATGATCCATTAACTGCTTTTCCTCAGATAATGTGTTGCCGATGTCATCCTTTAAGACTTTGATTCGATCATGTTTGCTTTTGACCGAGGTTGCCGCGTGGTAAAATCTTGTGTTTCGATCACCAGATACTATCCATTCCTCCTTCGATCGTTGGAACCATAGTAATTCTTCTTGGTATAAAGTATCTTCCAGTTCATGCCTTAATTTCCTCTCGAGTTTTAGAAGATCTGGTCTTGGTTGTATTGCCAAACCTTGCTGGATTCCTTTTAGTCTAGATAACAGTCTCTTCTTTCTATAGAAGATATTACCAAAAGTATTAACATTCCATTCCTTCAAAGCTCCTGCCAACACCCTCATGTTAATCTTCAAATCAGATTCAGTATTCCATGTACCATGCACTAAAGCTTGGAAGGTAGCGTGGGTGGTCCAAGCCATATTAAATTTGAAACTTCTACATGTGGAGACTGTTTGGTCTCTTCCCGTGTTGATCAGTAGCGGACAGTGGTCAGAGCTAAGCATGGGTAAATGACTTACTGTTGCTTCCGAGAATTTGAGCTTCCAATCCAGATTTCCTAATGCTCTATCGAGACGTGCACCTCTGAAGGTTGATGAATTGATTCCCCTCATCCATGTAAACTTTGTACCATTATAGCCTAAGTCGATGAGGCCCTCCCTGAAAATCCAATCATTAAAGTCAACGCACCTAGCTGATGAGAAATTCTCTGGATTGCTCACTTCCTCACGTCCTATTATTGCGTTGAAATCCCCTACTGAGAGCCAGGATGAAAGTGGATCGCCACTCTGAGATGATAGCTCAGCAAATAATTTTCTTTTGAGATACTGACAAGGACTGCCATAGACTAGGGAGAGCAGCCAAGGTCCTAAATCGCCATCGTTCACCTGCACAGAAATAAATTGTGGGTTAGTTTTAACGATCTCAATGCTAATGGACTCCTTCCATAGAATCCATATGCCTCCCGAAAATCCCACCGCTTCAACTCTAATCCATTCATCAAAACCAAAGCTATTACAAATTTTGTTGGCTTGATTTCCCGAAACCTTAGGTTCGAGTAAACAAATCAACGAGGGATTAAAATCCCTGCAAAACTGACGAAGGGTTCGCTTAAACGATCCTGAAGCCGCCCCTTGACAATTCCAAACAATAAATATCATTGCAAAACGTGAAGAGAGGCGCTCAAGAGCGTGGGTGGCTTAGCGCCACATTCCCATCCTGGGTCATCAAGTCGTCCTGCCCCTGCATTGCTACATCTGGTGGTTCGTTCAGAACAATGATGGTATCTGTATAGCCTGTGTCTGGAGGGTCATCTAAGTGTGCGTTCTCCAGTCCAGCAATGAATGAGGATTCTGGGTGGTCCTCAGTGTGTTGGACCTGGACAACAGTTATATTCCTTCCTCTATTTGTGCCTCTAACAACTGTGTGATTCTCTTCTGCAGCTGCTCGGTTATATGTAGGTCCCTGGTTATGTCTTCCTCTAAATCCTCCACGTACAGCTGCTATTGGTTGCCTTGGGGTGTCCCTTCGATTGTTGTTACCTTGTTCTTCGATCACCACCCTTCTCTGTTCTAGTTGAGTAGGATGGTTTCTTAGTTTGGTTCTGATTCTAGGTAGGATTGGCACAGCTTGTGGCTCTGCCGGTCTCCTCTCCTGTTCTCCTTGATCGTGGTCCATACCAGAGTCATCCAATCCATCCAAGGATGCGAAGCTAGACTGTACTCCTATACCACCTTCTGCTGCTTGGTTGTCTTTGGGAGATGGCTGATTTCTGTCTTTTTGGAAGTCAGTTGTCGTTCTATTATTTCTTCTTGGGAATCTTCTCTCCTTTCGTGTAACTAACATCCAAGAACCATATTTCTCTTTTGGCACTTGGTTTGTTGTTTCCTGCCTTGTTTCTGCCATAGAATTTCCTTCTCTAGGCTCCTTAGTTCCCTGTTCTTCCGGTTTACATTGTTCCGATCGATGACCATAGCATCCGCAAGAGAAACAGATAAGATGAATCCCCTCATACTCTATTGGCCATTCTTCAAAGTTTAGAACAATCTGGGATACCAGTGGTTTAGTTATGTCAATCTCCAGGCACACCCTTGCAAATTTCCCTTTGGAAGCTAAGCTTGTAGCAGTGTCTATCTTGATTGGCCGGCCGACTGTCTTCCTGATCTTCTTGAGGAAATCTTCATCAAAATATTCTATGGGGATATCTGGGAATCGTACCCAGGCTAAGACTTTACTGGTCTTGTTCTTGTATGGACTGAAATTTGGTTGCCATTCTTGGACAACCACATAATGGTCCATGATCATCCATGGACCCTCATATTTTGCGATTTCATAGTCTCTTAGAGACTCGAATCTGACTATGTAATAGTCTTGACTGAGCGCTATCAAATCGAAGTTTGCTTCAGATCTCCACATTCTCCGTAATCGTTGAAGGAGATAGGGGTAACTGACAGTTCTTCCCAAAACCTTGATTATGAGAGACCGGCGCCATGGACGTCGTAATCTCTCCTTTTCGTCTTTAGTTACCCGTATAATTGGGTATTCTGAAGTGAAGCCCTCCGGCTCCATCTCATCATCAGAAACAATTTCAAGATTTGGTTGGGGGGTTACCTCCTTCCTAGACCAAGTCTTGTTTGGGGTGGCCGCCAGTGTTGTCCATTGGCCCGGCGACAGTAGTTCCTCTCCCATTGGAGTCTCCATCACGACCTCTACTCCCGGACGCGGGGCATGGCTACTCAGTTGTTCTCGCGAACGTTTGCTTTTCTTGGTGTTTCTTTCCAAGAGATCTTGGTCCTGCGGCGACCGATCGGTCGCCGCCGGCGAGGGTGAGTCAGAGAGAATACGGGTCGACATCAACATTGATTTCTTTTTCTTAATTAATCGCGTGATTTTTCTTCTTCATTTTCACATTTTGCGGTTTCACTTTAATTTGAGATGAGCAATGATTTCGGACATTCATAAATTATGAATCCATGCCTGCACATTCACTTTGGAACCATGCCTAATTGCCTACACATTCCCGTCCGAAACCATGACTGCTCCTCTGTAGCGCAAGCTTCTTCAACATTCATAAATTATGAATTTTCTATTATGAGATTATGAATTTACAGTAAATTCATAATCTCATAACAGAAAATTCATAATTTAATAAATGTTTTTCTTTTATGCGATTATGAATTTTCTGTTATGAGATTATGAATTTACAGTACATTTATAATCATATAACAGAAAATTCATAATCTGACCAAACGCGCGCCGTTAACACCACATTAGCGATTTTTTTTTAACGTAAAAACGGCGCCGTTTAGCCCCGTGTTCACCATTCATGGTGAACACGTTTCCAGGGCATAATTTGCCCTGTCCAAGAGGCACATGCAAGAGCTAGGCCAAATGAAATCGTCACTTGTAAAAATTGAACCTAGATTATCCCAAAATTCCCTCTACAAAGAGAGCTCATTTGCCACTTGAGCTACCCTATTAAGTTACTTTTTAATACATATGTATATATATATGTCACCAAGAAATTTGGGTGAGCTTTAGATAAGACATGAAATGGCATTGGTTTGAATCCTATCTACAATATTTTAGGTTTATTTATTTTTTTTTTTTTTTTATTTTTTTTTTAAGCTCTTCTCACCCTTCAATAAATTAACTATTTCT